TCAAATAGGTAGCTGAATACCGATGCCCACACTACCTGCCTCATAAGTGCCACACCTGTAAATACCTAACAGGTCATGTTCCAAATCCTTGGCCAATTGGAGAAAGCACCAAGGAAAATCCATAGGGCTGTGCTCCTACCCACTGCCCCGCACACTCATCACGCTAATTGCCCTTTGTACAAAGAACAAAGCTGGTCAGCGTTTCAAGTTCAAATCCAAACAGCTTCTCCTGTGGACTCTGCACTCCCAGGCTTCTGAGCAGCCTGGGACGAGCCACTAGATTCGGGGAGCCACACAGAAGAGTCGAGACAAGAATTTTAATAGGTAGAAGGGACGCGACAGTGGAATTCCTTTGAGGTCAATGCTTCCAAACCTACCAGAATCCCATTATGCTCCCACACAGGTCTGGAAGGACATGTGAAACAAGGATGATGGGCAAAAAAAAAAAAAAAAAAAAAAAAAAAAAAAAAAAAAGCCATGAAACAAACATGCAGAGAGGCCCAGATGCATTTGTTTAAAGAATACATCCTGACCTGCTTCAAGAGTCTTTGTGCTGAACAGGAATCAAACTTAGAAAGGTTCCCGAGAGAGCACTACCCAGCCAGTTTGTCCATTACATGCAACTGATCCTAAAAATCTCCGAATCTGCCTGCCTGCCTCCATCTTGGAGTTCAAAGGCAGATTGTTGCAAGAGGAGTCATACACCACATGCTCTCATCAAACTCCTGTAAGGAAGGGAGGTGCTACACATGGGTGACGGAGGCAGAGCGAGACTAAGGCAGGGGTGGGCAAACTTTGTGGCCCGAGGGCCACATCGGGGTTGCGCAACTGTATGGAGGGTTGGGTAGGGAAGGCTGTGCCTTCCCAAACAGCCTGGCCCCCGCCCCCTATCCACCCCCTCCCACTTCCCGCCCCCCTCAGAACTCCCAACCCATCCAACCGCCCCCTCCTCCCTGACTGCCCCCCAGAACCCCCTGCTCCCTTACCCAACCCCCCTGGTCCCCATCCCCTTACCAGCAGCAGGAGCTCGCAGCCGCGACACCCGTCCAGAGCCAGCTGCGCTCCCCACGCTGCCCAGAGGGAGCGGCGGGCCAGAGCACGGCCTGCGTGGCTACGGGGGTAGGGACCGGGGACTAGGCTCCCCGGCCAGGCAGGACGATCCTGTGGGCCGGATATGGCCCGCGGGCCGTAGTTTGCCCACATCTGGACTAAAGGAATGTCTACACTTCGAGCTGGGGGTGAGATTCCCAGCCCAAGGAAGAATACCTGTGCTAGCTCTGATCAAGCTGGTGTACTAAAAATGTAGTGTAGCAGCCGGAAGGGCCGGCGGCTCGGAGTATGCGCCTAGCATCTTGGACAGGATCACACGCTGGGCAGCTCGCTGCTTGCACTGCTGCAGCTACGCGGTTTGTAGCGCACGGGCTCCATCAGGGTTAGCGTGAGCAGGTCCTCCTTGAGCTGGGAACCACCCCATACCTTGAGTGACATGCCCAGAGCGACACCGGGAACCAGGGCCAAGTCAGAGATTGACCCAAAGTCTCCGAACTTGCCAGCTAGCATCATACCCACTGGACTAGCCCTCCTTCTCTTGCTGTTGAGCTGCCACCAAGAGACAAAATCCAAGGGCTGGCTGCCCTGCTCGGCACCGTGAGGTTTGGCCGGAAACATGAGCAGCTTGCCCGTGGGAGACCCATGCAGGATTTCCCCCAGGGACTGGAGCAAGGTAGAGGGGACTAGAGCCTGGTCTTGCGAAAGGGGACGTTTTAGCAAGGACTCCGTCAGCAGCACCCATGTGACAGCAGGATGGCGCCCACGGAAATTGACATGGCAGCAAGGAACGAGAAGGCAGGCGGGAGGATTCGGCAGGGATTGGCCAGGCAGCCTGATGCCCCAGAGGCAAATGCCCCTTTTGGAGACGCTCATGGGTCAGTGTGAGGGAGAAAGCCCATCAAGGCCTTTTTTCCTCCTCCTGCTTCTACAGCCAGGAGACACCCCCTTCCCCAGGCCAGATGGCTGCACTGCAAGGCCGTGACCCCAAGGAAGGGGGGAGTTAAAGCATGGAAAAAAAAGCAGAGGGGGGGGGGAAGCAAGAGACCTTTGGGAACAGTGGGGTCCCACCGAGGGGGGGGAATAAATGCACAAGGGATGCAGAGCATCAAACCCTCCTGTTCTGCTTAGATTTCCACGCAGAATGTCCACCCACCAGTTCATTGCCTAGTATTTCTCCTCTAAAATAGAGGTATTAACCATTAGAAGGCCAGCACCTTCCACAGTGCCAGAAAAAAGGACTCCTTAGGAGGCTGTCTACAGGGCAGGGGGTGGGGAGAGGGCATAACAGCTGATTTAGGGCTTTAGCAGTAACAGTCTTACTTAGACCATTCCAGGGCCCAATCTCTCTCTTTCATAGCACCGTGACCTCACTGCAAGGAAGCTATGGCTGATTAGCCAGGGGTGTCATGTGATGTTTCGATGGGCTCCAAGCATGCTTTGATTAACAAGAGGCAGTGTAGTCCAGTGGTCAGAGCAGCCAGTCAGCCTTTAGGGGTCACTTCCCACCTCTGCCACCGACTGACAACATGGCCTAGGCCAAGTCACTTACCCTCTCCGTACCCCGGCTCCTGCCCATCTGTCACAGAGGGACAACAGCCCAGGGCTTACATGACTATTGTGGGTCTTCATCAGTGGGAGTTGGTAAAGAGCTTTAAAATCCTCAGGGGAAGTGGGGGGGCGGGGGTGTTCTGGAAGGAAAATTTGTTCTTTAGGCCACTGTCATGCACGCGGTTCGGTGCGGGTAGACCCTGCACCTGCATGGAGCCCTGTTGACCCACACATAGGTTGCAGGATCAGGACCTTAGCGGGTGGCTGTAAAACCACCTCTGCGAAGGCTACGCTCTGCCTTCAGCCCGGGGAAGGGTTTTAGCAGCCTGGGTCTCTCTCGCTGCACACAACAGCCCTCGAAGCTACACGAGGCATTGGGGGAGACATTTCACATCCCGCTCTGTGGTTGAATATAAACGCAGCCAGACACAGGCAGCGAAGACGACGAGACAGGTGGCACTGGAGCCCGCTGGGGCCTGCAGGCACGGGGGCTGTGGGGGCTGTGCAGAGAATGGGTCCTGAGCCAGATCAGCGTCCACTGCCCGAGCAGAGCAGGAACGTTATGGATCAAGTGGAGAAAGGGAAACCAAGAGACACGCTCGCGGGCTGCCTTCAGAGAGGAACGTGGCAGAGCCCGCACCTGTCAGGAGGCATCAGCAGCCGCAGGGCAGCCCGGACAGGCAGTGAGAGAGGGAATCGCTCCCAGGCCTGCCTCAGAAGCAGCAGTTACACGCCAGCCCTCTCTGCCAATTAGCACGGCTGGCAAAGACACTCGGCAGGGGCCTACAGAAGGGGAGGCAAAGCTGGTTAAAACTGCCTGCCCTACCCAGCGTCTGAGCTCTGCTTTCACAGAGCCGGAGCCTGGGGAGCACGGAGGAAGTGAACGATAAACCAGCAGGGCCAGGATACCACAGCCACTCAATGCCCTTGACTCTTCCCAGGTCAGCCAGGGCCAAAGACACTCAGCGCCTCTAGGATCTGGCCCTGAGCAGTGGCAGCTCGTCCTCCAGAGCTTTCCCTACGCTTGGTTTACAGTGCAATCCACGCATCCCTGTGATGGCAGGGCTGTCATATATAGCTTCACTCATCACAGGGGGCACAAGCACTTTAAATTCCCACAGGCCGTACCGCATCAGACCAGTGGTCCATAGTCCAATATCCTGACTCTGACAGAAGCCAATATCACATGCTTCAAAAAAGCAAACTGTAACCCCTTTCCTCCACCACATCCCCCCATCATGGAGAAGTAAGACGAGTCTCTAGGCCTTATTTATACATCTCCATGTGACTCATGGAGGCAATGTGATCAAGTGAGGACTTGAATCAGGACTCCTGGGTTCTATTCCCATCTTTGCTGACTGTGCAACTTCAGACAAGGCATATCACCTCTCTGTGCCTCAGTTTCTCTCTGTGAAATGGGTATAATAATATTTCTCTCTCACACACACACACACACACACTCTTACAAAGCGCTTTAAGATCTATAGGTGAAGAACACTAGTTACTAAGGTTGGATTTGCCCTTTAGACAGATTTTGACCCTAGCACAGCAGTGCGGTAGCAGGGCATCAGCAAACTCAGTTGTTCCTCCCTCCACATGTCTTTCTTGTCCAGTTACTGTCCAAATCCTTACAGTCCCTCTCCTGCAGATTTCCTAAGCTGTCATATTCCTAAGCTGCTATTAATACGGAATCCCATTCAAATTCAGTCTCCCCACACACACACACACAAAAAAGAAAGTTACACCCCACTACTGACTTCACCCCCACTACAATCCTAGGCTCGGATCTTGTCTCCACAGAGTCCTGTTCAACTCAGTGGAGTTCTGTACAGGGCCCAACGGCCGAGCAAGGGCCCTGCCCTGAAGCGAGCTCACCTCCACTGAAGTCAGTGGAAAGACACTCACTGATTTTGGGTCAGAGCCTAGGGAACAGATGGCAAAAGGCACTGTGCAGGAAGCCGTGTGATGTAGGATTCATCTCCTTAATGCAAGAGATTTTCTATGGCCTCGGCTCTCAGGGCTGCAGTTTCTGATGGGCAGTAACAGCTATTTGCAAGAACAGAAAAGAGGAAGAGGACAGTAGCTTTTTGTGGGGGTAAACTGGAGTCGAAGGGAAGTTGAGAAACGCATGAACCACTGTGCTGGGACTTATGGTCTAGGACCAAGCCATTAACATTTTGCATATTAAAGACACCCCAATCCTCAATACACTAGCTAGTGTTTGGCTTTAATAATGTCCCCCATCACCGTGGCATCAGAGCACCTTGCCAGGATGATATTATTGAATCCCACATTCAGACTCTGCTACACCCAAGTGACACCCGACCCAACACCCAGCAGGTTTGGAAAGGGCAGACAGACAGGGGGAAAGCACAAGGGCGCACAGGGGTCAGACACTTTACCGGCAGCCTTCCCGCAGAGGCAGATCGGATGGTTTTGATTTCAGGTCCATGCGGGGTAGCGTAGAGACAGCTGCCCCTGGATGCGGGGGCGGCAGCCACACTCTGGGGGTACAGCTGCGTGAAATAGCTGGCCGGGATGGAGTGCATCTGAGGGCTGCTGAGGCTGGAAGTCACCAAGTCTGCAGAGCTCATCACAGGCATGACTTTCTTCTGCGGCTGGGGGGGGCAGGCAATGGCGCAGCCCCCCCTTTCCGGGGCTGAAGACACTCCCTTGACTCTCAGCATTGTTCAGCCATTTAAAACAGGGCGTAGCATGCAGGATCAGTGAATGGCCCCCAGTTTCCAGTCTGAGGCTGTCTTGGGGGGGGGAATCAAGCCGGATTTTTTGCTAGACTGCATTGGGGGAGGAAATCACGGAACCAGCCCCACTCGAGCCCCCTCCTTTCTTCGTGGAAGTTCCTGTCGCTGACCGGCCAGAATTTGCAGCTGGCTGTTTTGATCCCGACACACGCAATTCAAAGTTACTAGTTGTCTCAAGGGGACCGGGGCTTTGCAGCGCCCAAACGCCCGTTCACTGCCCCCCAAGCCTCAGCCTGCAGGGGATTGCAGGGGCTGGTGACGCTCAGCTCCCCGAGTGGGCATCGACTCCCACCCAAGCGTGGTGCATGTTAAAAAGTGAATAATAAAATCACCCCCCCTAAATCGCTGCTTTGGCTGCGCCTTCTCCCGAGGCCCCCAGCGCGGGGGGGTGGAGCAGCATCAAGCCAGGGGGAGCTGCGCCCCCAGCCCGGGCCCTGGATCCGGCCGAGGCCCCGCCACGGTCTCGCGTGGAGCGGCTCCCCCTTGCAAAGCCGGGGGCTGCCTCCCGGCGGGGCTGCAGCGAGCCGGGGCCGGGATGGGGCCGGATGGGAGCGGGGGCGATGGCTGCGGAGCGGCCCCGGTTCTTTCTCTTTCCCTTTCTCCCGCGGCTCCGCTCGCTCCTCGGGGTTTTTTTTTTTTTTTTTTTTAAGCGCCAAACGACGTGCCGCGAAATTCGGATCTCCCGCGGAAAAGGCCGCGCTCTGATTGGTCGCTGCAACGCGGGCCGGGGCCCCGCCCACCGGATTCGATACAGTCGGCGAGGAAAGAGGCGGGGCGGGCGGCTCTTAAAGGGGCCGCGCACAGGGCGCGCCTTTCTCCCGGGGGCTGGCTCCTCCTCGGGCTCTCCCCCTCCCGACGCGCCGAGTGGGCGTGGCAGTGGCGGGAAGGGGCGTGTCCATGCAAACAGAGAACTAGGGACCGTCTGCAGCCATCACTCCCCCTCTCTCCCCGAGTTAAAGTGACCTGGGCTGGGACCAGCTGTCAGACCTGTGGCTAGGGGGGAGCCTATCAGGGGGGGCGCTGATGCAAAGGCTGCTCCGCCCATGCACCCCGCTGGGACGTGCTGTTGTTGCAAACAAAGCCCTGAGGCAGTCAGCCAGAGAAAGCAACGGGTAGCCGGGTTTCATAATGGCGGGGCAGCGTGGCCAACAGGACTGGGTTCCCACAGGCAAATGCAGGGGGGCTGGAACAATGGGTATAGTGGGGGAGCTGAGAGCCATTGAACCAAACTGTAAACCCTGGATAGGATGGAAACCACGTCAGGCCGGGGGGTGCAGCACCCTTAGTTCCAGCCCCTATGGGCAAATGTGGCCTTTCGAGACTCTTTGGGGTAGGGATTGTCTCGCTTGTACAGCACCTAACACGATGGCACCCAATCCTGATTGTGGTCTCAGGAAACTATTGCAATGCAAATCGACAGGGGCCGCTCTAGTTATAGGCAAGCTATGTAGCTGCCTAGGTTGGCCGATTACTGGGCAGATGCCTAGGGCACCCAGACCAAATGTTGAGTGGCAGTGCAACCCCCTGCACCAGGTCCCAATGCCACTGCCTCAAATTTGGCCCAGCCACCCCTTTGTCGTGACGGAGGGGCAGTCGGGCCAAATCTGAGCGAGTTGGAGGCAGCCCACTGAAGAGTTGCCTAGATCAGCAGAGTGTGTTGAGAAGCCTCTGCAAATAGAAACTAATAATCAGTTGCATGCCATGGTGAGCTCATATGTCTCAAGAACATAAAGCAGAAACCCTGGAGAGCAGATTAATGTGGCCTTATGTGGTAAGGAAGGCAACTGGGTTTGACCCGAACACCTATTCATTGTTATTCTGGGATGAACAGTTTATGCTGCACAGCCCTAGCCGTCCCTTGGGTAGGGCAAATCGGGGCAACCGCTCCAGGCCCCACACTTTGGGGGGCCCCGTGGGCCAGTGCAATTGGCCAGCGCAGTCAGTCCCGGAAGAGACGAATCCGTCACTTCCGCCCCGGGCCCCGCACCCCCCTAGAGACGGCCCTGGTTGTGGGCTAGTTTAAATTAGTGGGTCTCGATCTTTTCCATACTGGGCCATAAGTGCTGGAACTTGGGATGCTGGAATTGGCTCTCAACACCCCCACTATACAAATTGTTCCAGGCCCCCTGCACTGGGCTCCCCTTTTCTGCACCAGGACACCCACGCACACACAATCCTCTCCCATTTAGCCTCTTTGTTCTGTGCTTGTACAGCTCCTAGTACAATGGGGTGCTGATCCAATATAAACAGAAATAGCCAAGACAACCCTCGCATTTAGCAATATACGTAGAGTGGAGTGGTCTCCAACTTCTGACACCTGTTCCTGACCCCTGGGTTGAGAAGCCCTGGCTTAGGTACTAGGTCTCCTATGCTGTCTGGCTAATGCACTCCTCCATGCAGACACAAGTCACATGGATCTTTTAATTTTTGCTGGAAACAACATAGGAATAAAATATTCTATCCCCCCACAGGAGATGGTTCCTAATTACTTGTGGGTGCCCAAGTGAGCAGGCTAGGAATTGTCCCTGGTCATTAGTGATGTAAGTGATGCTTTGGTCCCTATCTTTCCCATTCGCTGTTTTCGGTCTGATTGATTGTTTCTTCGGGGAGTCTTTGTTATTTAAGGTGTCAGAGTAGCAGCCGTGTTAGTCTGTATCCTCAAAAAGAACAGGAGTACTTGTGCACCTTAGAGACTAACAAATTTAATTGAGCATACGCTTTCGTGGGCTACAGCCCACTTCATCAGATGCATAGAATGTAACATATAGTAAGGAGATATATATACATAGAACATGAAAAGGTGGGAGTTGCCCTACCAACTCTAAGAGGCTAATTAATTAAGATGAGCTATTATCAGCAGGAGAAAAAAACTTTTGTAGTGATAATCAAGATGGCCCATTTCCAACAGTTTGACAAGATGATGTGAGGAATGGCTGAGCCATTACACACATTGAATGTATTTCCCCATGATAAGTATCCTCCCACCTTTTCATGTTCTCTGTATGTGTATATCTCCTTACTATATGTTTCATTCTATGCATCCGATGAAGTGGGCTGTAGCCCACGAAAGCTTATGCTCAAATAAATGTGTTAGTCTCTAAGGTGCCACAAGTCCTCCTGTTCTTTTTGTTATTTAAAACTTTCAGGAAGGATTTTTAGGGTTGTTTTAGCTTCAGGGGAACATAAAGGTTTGGCAAAGTGTGTGTCTAAAAAGCCTCTATTATGTATCATTTCAGTAAAGATGGAATAAATATTATTTCTATTACAGGAACATCTAGAGACCCAAACTGACATCTGTGCCCTAATGTACTGGGAGCTCTACAGACATGCTAAAAGAAAAAGTCCCTGCCTTCAAGTGTTTGGGAGCACAAACAGAGGGGGAAGTGACTTGCCTGAGGTCAGCAGCAGATGGAGGAATAGATCCCAAGTCTCTTGCTGCCTAAGCCAGTGCCCTAGCCACTAGAGACACCAATTTCCCAGGCAGATGGATCAGCTGTGACTGAGGTATGGGCCAATGTCTCACCACTGCCCTCTACTGGCTGGCACGCAAAAATCTGCCCATTTGAAGTCATTTCACCCTGCACTGGCTGGGCCAGAAGGCAACATTTCAAACCCAACTGCCTAAAACTGGTCTCCTAAATCCTAAACAGAAGACTGATTTGTAGAGGTCCCAGCCCCGCAGTGAGGTCAGGAGATCACCATCAAAGCTTCTGTTTAGATCACCATCAAAGCTTCTGCCCATTATGAGACAGCTAGATTTGACAAATTTGGCTATAAACTAGTGTAGCAAATGGAGAGTCTTGGTTAGTTCAAAGAGAAAAGGCTTGTGTCCCCTCCCCAAACCAGGCCAGCGAATGGGACATTCTCTGTCCCCTCTGTCCGTGATCAAGCCAAATGTCATTACTCTCATTCCCAGTCAGGTAGGGGGAATGGACCACTTTTCCACAGGCAGCTAGATTTCAAATTTGACTATCTTACGAGGTGACATGATTGTCCCAAGTTTCAGACTGCGGTCTTCTTCGCGCCTGCCTGGACTGTAAGCTCTTTGGGGCAGAGCCTGTCTCTTTGGCCTGGTCTACACAAGAAAATTAGGTCGGCATAACTACGTCACTCAGGGGTATGAAAAACCAAAGTCCTCGTGCAGCCAGCACTGGGTCATTGGAAAAATTAATCCATCACCCTAGCTCCTGGCTCTCAGGGAGATGGATTCCCTACACCAACGGCAGAACCCCTCCCATCACCGTAGGTCGTGTCTACAATGAAGGACGACAGCGGCCCAGCTGCGTCCCTTGTAGTGTTTGAAGCCCTTTGTGTGTGTAGAGCACCTACTGCAATGAGGCCTGTGGCAGGGTGCCATCTTCAGAGCACACCCTCTTACGGCCCCGAACCCTCAGTTCCCTCCTAGGGCTCCCACCAATTTTTGCACAGTCTGGAGTACTTAAAACAACAGTCCCCTTTGTAGCGAGTCTAATTCTTCATAACCAAGTCCTTTCCACCATGATGTCTCTGCTGGAGTGAGGTCTTCCAACCATCCTCACTACTTGGAGACCAAAGTCAAACCAGCTCAGACCTTTTCCCTCTGGGCTGGCAGAGGTAGGAAGTCCTTCTCCTGCTAGCAACTCTCTCGCTATGAAGGAAGAGGCAGATTATACCTGTCCTCTTTCCCAGAACTTGTCCTGTTGGCTGAGAGAGAGCAGAGCTTTGTCCCACCCTACAGCACAAGTCTCCTGGTCCCAAGCCCTTAAAGAAATAGAAACTTGGATTTTCCCCCAGACACTAGTACCCTGGGACCACTTTCTCTCTCCCAGCATCTGTTTTTGCCATTTCCTAGGCCCCTCAGCTGCTCTAGAACTTCCAGAACACAAGGTTCCAGAAGATCCCCACGATCCCTTATAGGGGACAAAACACCATTACAGGGCCCTGATCTCGCCTGGAACCTCTAGACACTAGTGTAATAGAAATAATAATCATGTTGCTGCTGTGATTGTCTAAAGGTACTATCTGCAGCCTGCTTGATCGCTTTGTGCCAGGGTGTCTCATTTTGACTCTCCAGTTTTCAGTGGGTCTGCTTCTGAACTCTTTGCAGTGTTGTTGTGACCGGGTTGGTTCCAGGATATTAGAGAGACAAGATCGGTGGGAAACACCTTGTATTTCTGAGTACATTTCCCAGGATGGAAGAAGAGCTCAGTGTCAGCTCAAAAGCTTGTCTCTCTCACCAACAGAAGTCCGTCCAATAAAAGAGATTCCTTCCCCCACCTTGTCTCTCTGATTCTGAACTGCTCTTATATGGTTAGGCCAAGATTTTCAAAGGAACAGGGGGGAGCTGAGTGTCTAACTCCCCTAGGTTTC